GCTGGTTCCCGCGGCGTGCCTTTTTTCGCCGCCAGGCAAAACCACACCGTGCGAGCTCTCTCTCTCTCTCCCTTTCTCTGTCCCTTTCTCCGCCACCTTGCGGGCCCCGGCCCGCCACGTGCGTGCCGGAAGTTGGATTTTTTTCCCACTTTGTTCTGGCGATGCGATGTCAATCAACTCACAATGGATGGTTGAGTATACGTCGGAGGAGGGATGTTCTGGTTCATGGAGTTCAGTTTTGGAATTTCTTAGCGATGAGAATCCCATCTTTATTGCTGTTCTTATCTTATGGGTTGTTGATTGAATTTTTACTGGTGTATACGTTACTTTTATTATTTATTCGGTGTTATTTAACGATTATGACTCCAATTTCGAAATGCGAGTAATTAAGTGGTAAGAGTAGTTGGATGTAAATCGATTCTTGGGAGTTAATAACGGTTCGAAAAATTTGGATTTATTGTAGGTAGTCTGAAAATTGGTTATAGATTAAATGCACGATATACTTTTATTATTTTTTTGAAATTTATGAAAATAAACCAATTTGGTACGAAATCTGTATTGAAGAAATTAATTTTAATATCAGGTTTTACTTTGCAATGATCAAATACGTAAAATTGAAGCAATACGTACGAATAATTAAAAAAGCAAACTTAATTTCGAATAAAATACATTTTTTTTATAATATGTGACAAAAAAAAAAAAAAAAAGAAATATATTTCTTTATTAGAAGATGCGAAGATTTTGCTTAACTCACTCGATACGTACATCGATCGGATACGTAAAAACTTTATGTCATCATTTTTCCAAAAAATTTCCATAAAAGTAAATGATCACGCGCAATCAGCAGTTATTGCGCGCCACAAAAGAACGTGATTGCAGCTAATAAATATCAATCCACGTATGTAAAACGCGTAATGAACGGACGTGCATAAATTACAAGCTTAAATAAACATCTTGGCAACGCTTCATCACTCCTTGGGAACATCATGTTTGGAAAAAAACACGTTGGCGATTCTTTCATCGAACCGTCGATTGTATTTATCCTGAATCGGTGGCGCAACAATGAATCAGTTTCAAATTATTTTATTTAACATATACCTCCGATCGTAACAGACGTTATTAACTAATCCACTCGGACATCACCGTTTATAACCGTTCAATGACGTTTATTGTTACAACCTCTTACGACCATAATCGCTTTATAAACGCGTTTTAAACACACGCCTTTGTTACCGACGTCTGAGTTGCTGTTTAACTGCATGCAAAGAAAACACGAGCATAGTAAGGAGAACAGATCGCATTACCGATCTGTTGATCCACAACCGTGCACGGTTTTAAAATACAATTGTGATTCCACCGGGACCCGTGCATACTTTATCTGTTAAAGCTCCCCTTTATTAGCATGATTCATTTCGTATTCTGCCGTTATGTTTCCTTACGACTTCGACGAGTTGAATGGTTAACGCTTCGGTATACACCCAAGTTAGGGTAATCGATATATTCCTTGAATACGTAAGCTTGACAACGATGCTCCTTCTTTTCAGCTATCGTTTATGAACGGAAATTTTCGATCGTAAGTCACAATTCCGGTGGATTGCGTGTTTTGTGGGTTGTGTCCTCGCAATACTCGTTAATTCGACAATAAAATTTAATTTTACGAGAGAGTAACGGTGTTGTAGGAGAAACCAAATTTGTTAGTCTTAAAGGATACTTTTGTCCAGGGAGGTCGTTAAGTTTTAACCCTTGTAACGATATTCAAAATTCTCGACAACGTTCAATGCTGAGGATACCTGAATGATAGTGTGTAAAATAACAGGATATATCATTGGGAGCCAATTGTTCCTTCAAAATTTTTAGAATTTCTAAAATCGGATGTTGAAATCAACTTTTAGAAAAAATCTATAAGGAATCCCAATCGTTTGAATCTTTTAAGAATTATATTAATAAATAGAAAAATTAAATATACTTTATGACTCTTAGAAATCTTCCCTATTTTCGAAAATTGTAACGGTATTAAAAAATTATAAAAAAATATTGCAAAAATTAAATATTCTCTCTCTTGAAAATTTACTTGTAAATTATCCGACTTCTAATTACTAGATTTCGCTACATTTTCATTGTAGTACATATATATATATATATATCCATTGATGAACACTCTTCTTGAGAAAGAGGAAAACGCAAAGGCATCGAGATTTACTTTGAATGCAACGCGAGCATTATTTAAATACATACAATCGAAAGTGGAAGTAATTAGTACGTTGCGAGTCTTATTGTGGCTCAGACGTTAGCATAGCCTCTAACTCTTCGTCGTTCCAGGAATTTTACCCTAAGTCGATGGAGAGTTCGGCAAACAATGTCGACTATTCCTAACTTGTAGCCAGGAATTGGACGAGTCTTCTCGTGTGTGCTGATCATACAAGCTAAAGTACTTGCACACGAAGTTCGCACTGGACGTTTCCTTTATGAGTCCGTGGTGTAGAAAAATACTTTACTTCCCGTTTCTCGAGACCTACAACCGCGAACCAGAGTTTGTCTGTCTACCACGTGAATGACATTTCAATGAATTTTTCAATTTAACATCACTTATCTACTTATTTTTATCTCGGTGTGGAAATACAATTGAATGTAATTAATCGATGACTTTTTAAGATAATTATATAACATAGAAAAATTACAATAATGCGTATAATTATCTTCACAGATAATAATAGTTTTAGATTTCTAAAAAATTATTTAGAAAATGAACGTGGAGTTAAGATCGGTATTGTTTCACTTAATGGTTCGCAAATGAGTTTTAATTATTCGTTTTATTATAATTTTAAATAAATAAGTAAAAACAATATAAGTTGAATTTTCTTGGTTTAAGAAAGTAATTTTAGAGATTATTTTCTATTACTGCCAGCTATAATTTTAGTCATCCGTGAAGTAATGATAGGAAATTTGAAATGCAAAATCGCATGAATCATAAAAATTGCGACTCGTTAATAATATTCATTTATCGAATGAATATTTATAAACTTGTTCGAGTTATTGCCTATAATTCCTATATTTTACATTCGGTACTTCGCATCTATTATAAGTAATAAACGAAACGTTATTTTATATTAGAAATTCAATATTGTGTAAAATAAAAATATTTTTTAATGATTAAATTAATGATGATCTTGTATTGCCATGATAAATAGCAAAAACATCACTATATTAAGATTTTACGAATAATAACGTGCATTAATGCACAGATATTGCACATTAATACGTATATATATATATATATATTTATAATATCCAAAATGTACTTACAAATATATATTACTTTATGCATTAAAGAATTTTTTAATAAAAAAAAAAGATATAAATATTTAAGCGTTTATAAGATACATTTACAATTACTTAAAATACACTCCTTCAAAATTAACTGCCACAACTTCGAAAGGAAAAAAAAAAAAAATCATTCGATCATTCCTCGTTTCAAATCTTAATCCACATAATAAACGATCTCCAACTTGTACAACTTGCTCGACGCGACTTTTATTTTTCTCTCTACTATATCCCGCTACGTAATTTCCAATCGCGCGCTCACTTACGCGCTCACATTCTTATCCCACATTTAATTCACCACGGCCGACGATCGTCCATCCAGTTCATCGGTTGGACAAACATTCGTCCCGCTATTATTTCCTGGAAAAGCTGGAAAGGCCCGCACGTTCTTTTACACCACCATTCCTCAATACCGACGGCGTCCATCATCACACGCGGGCAACGTGTAATCCTGTCGCTGCCAACGTGTTTCTTTCGCAACTTTATGACACGTTCGTCAAGCTTTCTAACGAATGTCCGTCGATTTCGCGCCGGGCCTTGTTCCACTTTTTCAACACGCCCGCCGTACACGGCGTCAATTAAAAGTCCTCCAAGGAATTTTCCCCGCGTCTCATTAATGCGACGTTCCGGGAATACTAACGCGAGCCGGCTGTCTTTCATTAAGAAAGAGAGACGCGCGAGCCGCGTACCCCGCGTTGCGCATAGCTACGGCTGTGATTAGGCGAGCTATGAAACTCGAGGGGGGAGAGAGAAAAAAATCCTGTCGACGATTCCACGAGGTTTCAACGTTTCGTCATATCTCGGGTGGAATTTTCATAGTTTCATTCTATGGGAAAATTGTCCGTTCTTGCCTCGTCCCGTTTGCGAACAGACGATTGGGATAAAGGATGTTATTTTTATCGATTAATATAATTTTACGAGCTTTCATCGATCTTCTATCGCTTATTGGCTATACGTGTATTGAAGGGGAGAAGAAAGGTATCAATAATTTTTAGTATATGTTGAATTAAGAATATTCAGCCATATATTTGATATATTCGAGGAAAATTTTATGTATTTTATTCAGAAGAAGAAACTGATATAAAATCCTTAGGAGTGCTGAATATCGAGTGTGTATATTTTTATAATTCTGAACTCCTAATTTTTGCTGTATAGTATGCAATTAATCGATTTAACTTTTCTCTACGAAAGATGGAAAATATGATTTGATTATGATATTTAGGGAGGAGATTTTCAATATTTGCTCATTTATGTGAGATTATATTGAAACATTCTAATATTAGCATAGATTTTTTTTTATGAAAATATTACTTAATTATTATAAAACATGATTTGAAAAGCATTGAAAAATATTGATTTAAGAAAAGATTAATGACAAGCTTCGAAGTCTCTTTTAAGAAACACTATTAAAAATAATATGTTGATCAAATAGATATTTCTAAGTGTATATTAAATATTGATGTTTTCCAAACAAATTCTAGTTAGATTTACATTATCCATTAAAAAAAAACTCAACAAGTAGTATATTTATCTGTCATCAATTATTTAAATTGTAAATAATATTCATCGATAATTAGTTTCTGGTTGAGTTGATATCATTATTCAAACAACATTGAATAATGTCTGCTTTTGAATAAATCATTTAGAATTAATTTTTTTTCATCTCAAATACGTTACAGGCGGTATATGCTGGTCTTCCATTAGCAACGGTCGTTGTAAGGAATTATTGTCACAAGGAGTGACAAAGGAAGATTGTTGCGCGTCGAACGCTGCTGCGGCGACCGCGTACTCGGAGGAAGACCTCGATAGCGGAAGTCTCTTTTTTTGGAGGGTGCTTGGTGGAGGCGTGCAGTGTCGTCCTTGCAGAGGTAAACGAATATTTAATTTCATTTGCTTTTATCTCAATTTTTAAAAAAAAAAAATCTAAAGATTCTTGTCGAAATATTTGTAGAGTGCAGATATTTGTTTACGCATTTATGCAAAATTTAAATATTCCAAAGTCTGCAAAATAGTATTAAAAAAAAGAATCGTAGAATATCTAAAATATATAATAATCATTATAAATATTTGAACGTTTTTTTTTTCACAAAAATTCAATAGAAACTATTTTTCTTGATAGAAAGCTGCACGGAAGTAAGGTGTGAGGAGGGAAAGAAGTGCGTGGTGCGTAGAGGAAGACCAAGGTGCGTGTGCAGCCCTGAGTGCAAGGCACCAAGAGGTGGTGGTCCAGTCTGCGGGACGGACGGCAAAAGTTACAAAAATTTGTGCAGACTGAAGAAACGCGCTTGCAAGAAAGGAAGCCACGAACTAGCGGTTGCCTATAACGGCCACTGCCAAAGTGAGTATGTATGAAAGAGATAGAATCATTATCACCGCTTTGCAATTGAACGACCATCGACAAGACCACCACCATAAATATAAAAACAATTTGAACTCGTGACTTTAAGTGATTATTTAGATTCTTAAAAAATTAAACGATCGATTAAATTTACTTTTTATTGTTTGATTATGATTTGAAATGGAATTATCGAAGGTGTTCAATTGCAAGGATCAAACAATAACATTCTCGTTAAAAAATCTCATAAAACTTTTCGTGTAATCAATGTAAACAGTTACGATCACAATCGAGTAAATTTTCATTCTATTATTATTTATCCATCAACAATTCTAAATAACAAAGAAAACTTTAATTATTTCTAACCACTTCGACAACTCATTGAAAACGTGATATTTTAAAAATCGATAAAATTTCAAATCCCGAAATACAACTCTCTGCATCCTGAATTATCTCGATCAAACAATTTCGATCATCTTCTTCACAACCGCTTCTAACACTCTTCAAACTTGGCGGAACAAATCGTTTCGAGACACCGCGTCCCGATTGGTCAGAAATCGGGCGTGCGCGCGCATCCTAGGGAACCGCGGCTGGTTCGCGCGTGCGCGGCCGGCCGCGCGGAAAACAAACAGGGAAAGGCGACGCATCTATCACGGGGGCAGTTTACGACTGTGCGTAATAACGTGTAAAGTGTCGAGCAGGTTCGTGCGCACGGGTCCGGTGCGGCCAAGGCCGGAGCTGCCTGCTGGACCAGAACCTGAGCCCGCACTGCGTGAGGTGCGCCCGCAGGTGCCCCCAGCCGCCCCCGCAACAACGAGCCGCCGCACGCCCCGTTTGCGGGGCCGACGGAAACACATACAAGAGTGCCTGCCACCTGCGACTTGCCGCCTGCCGCGCAGGTCGCGCCATTCCCGTCGCCTATAAGGGCCACTGCAAACGTGAGTCTCCTTTTACTTCTTTCCACCTTTCTCTATCTTCGCTTTGCCGTCGCTCTTCCACGCTCTCTCTTCTTTCAACCCTTTCCCACCCCTCCCCCCTCCCCGCCCTTTTCTTCCCTCTGCACCCCCTGCGACTTCGTCCATATTTCCATCGCTTACTCCAGCTCTGCTTCCCCTCCCCTTCTCTCCCTGTCTCTCTAGCCACTGTTTGCCTTTTCCTCGCCTTCTCCTTGCCCCTCCCCCCTCCCCCTCCTCGCTTTTTTTTCTTCTCTTCTTTTCTTACCGTCGCGGCCTGCTTTTTTACTCGGTTTTTCAACGCAGCGGTGCGCAACTCGGGAAGAGAAGCCCCGCAGGGAAATCGTAAATATCGGATGGGGAACGGTGGCGAGTGGGTCCCCGCGTACTCCGCGCCACTCACGCGTTCAGGGAGGGATAACGTCGCGGTGATTGTTTTGGGGGAAAGAGAGGCTGAAGGAGAGGCAGAAGGTTGAGCGATTGGACGATATTTCCAACGTCTCTCTCTCTCTCTCTCTCTCTCTCTCTTTTTTGTTACTTTATCGTTTGTGGTGAAGAAAGGTAGATGGGTTTACACAACCTGATATATGAGTCAATATATCTTGTAGTATATTGTACGATATACTATAGTATAAGATCGTAAGTATTGTATTGTGTCGTAATTTAGTTATTATGCACGCTTAATATTGGGGATATTATCGAACTGCTTTTGAAAAGTTTTTTTAAAATACGAATAAAAATTTATCTTAACTGTGTATATGTCCTTTTTCTTAAGTATTTTAGAAAAACAGCTATATTTATCTCTTGATTGTAATTTTTGATTAGAATGAATAATTTATTAGTTGTACAAATTCATGGAGTTGATGAATTTGTTTCAACACATGTCGTGAAACTCTTTCTCATTTTTTATTCTTCGAAAGAATCAAACAATTTTTCCTGAATAAATATCGTTCCTATTTACATTTTAAACGAATAATATTATTCAATTATCACCATCGTATTACTGTTACTTTTTTTTTTTTTTTAAAGATTAATGTGAAATTAGCAGTTGAATTTTCCTGCGTGAAGAGCTCGGATGCATTTCTTTCGAAGGCACTACCTGTTGCTTCTCATGTGAAAGTGCGATTAAACGCAGGAAAACGGGTGTAAACCACAGGGTGGCTTTTATATGACCCGACGCAACTGGTGAATAAGAATTTTTTAAATACAAACTGAAACGAACGCTGAAATTGAATGGCGATATAACAACATACGTTTTTATAAAGACGTTTTTTTTTTCTTCTCAATTACCGGCATACATATTGCGATCATAAATATTTTAACATCCGTAATTTTTATTTCATTAAAAGATAAATGCAATTTTTGCACTCAACGTGATATGCAACTTTGGGTAACGAAAGAATATACGCTTATAGGATATTTGTTGCATTTATATTCTTATTTAATTAAAACAGGGGAAACTATAAACGATTTCGTTACTTCGGAATAATATAATAAATAATTAACAACTCAAACGATTTGAATTAAACCATATTTTTAATTATGATACGAATATTATAGAAAATATTTTCTTATTCAGTTGTAAAAATTCGTATGATGGTAGATTAATTGAATTAAAGCCTATTGCGTTAGTTGAAACGAGATGTCGCAACAGAATGTTGTACTGCCATACTTTATTCTTCTATTTCATTTAACGTGAATTTATCTCGTAATTGAATAAATAAGCATCAAGCATTTTTGGTCTCTAGATGATCAAAAATGTCCCATCAATATATAAATAGGACAAGGAAAAAAGTTATATCCTTTCAAAACTCAAGGAATATAATATTCCTTGAATTAGAAACGGACGTGGATGTGTTGCCTGATCGATGAGAGAAAAAGGCACGGCATGAAATCGTGCAAGAAAGGGTGAAGGACGGTGACGAAGGAAAGGAACAAAACAGGGGAGAGAGGGAAAAGTTCAGTTCACTGGCGAGTAGCCGAGTAGCCAGACTGTTACTGCTTTGCATCGGAATGTACCTTATTGTTGTACGGTTTGCACAGTGCCGAATGTCTTCTGACAGGTGTCATAAAGTCACTGAGCGAAGTTATGTCCAAACAAGCGTTTACAGTGAATCGCCTTCTTCCTCTTCCACTTAAGCTGTCCCTTTCTCACCTCTTATTTCCTATTCTTCTTCGTTCCCATTGGAACGAAATAAAAGAATCAATAATCACGTATAATTCGCGTATGAATTTTTCACGAATCACCGCCCATCAGATTTCATTTTTAATACCAGTTAATTATTCTTATTACTTGTCCTTCTTGTTTCTATCATTATGATTATTCTACGACTTCCTTTTCCCTTTCCTTCGCTATAGTTTTATATACCAAACTTCTTTCCAAGAAGGAACAATGAGATCTTCTTTCTTGGAAGGTAAATTCCATTTTATTGTTCTCTTTTCTCGACGTTCTTTCCCGCTCATTCCTAGTCTCTTGATCTTTCAACCGTTACATTATCCTTCTTCCAGGGATAACAGGGATCCTGAACCGTGTACGCGTATTCCACGAATCGCTTTGTACTTCCTTCGAGCTCGTTCTCATTGTCTTTATCCAATGTCAGCTGCTTTTTCTCTTGCCAGTAATTGATTTCGTTATTGTTGACCTCACCGATAATTGATTTGAAAGTGTTTAAAAGAGAAGAACAATTTTCTGTTCAAGTACAAGACAAGAAAGTGTGTTGATTTGAAAGTTGAGTCATTCGTTAAATATTTTCCTAAAATTTGATTCTGTGCTAATGGGTCTGAGGATTGTGCAAATAGGGAGGGAATCTTTTTTAACAGAACAAGGCCTTTGTTCATAAATTTTCTTTATCAATCGTTCCAACGTGATCCAATAATCGATCCAATATATGGGCTATAATTAACATTAATACCACTTCAGATAGCCGATATTTTGAAAAAGAAAATTGGCTTGAAAAGAATCTTGAAAGCCAAGAAAATATCCTGTGAAACAACGTATCTAACCTAATTTCTGTCCATAAAAGTGTAATCTGCAGAAAATTCATCGATGAAATACCTTCAAAATATCTTGACATTAATTAATCTAAAGGGATAAACATATTTTGACCAAATTCGTTGCTATGCTTGAAACGAACATGATTGATGTATAGATGGCGTGCATAAACGCGTGTCGCGCGACTTTTCCCCGACGCTTCTCAACTCGAGTGTCCGACATTACACGGATTCAAGAAGAAAAGAAGAGAAAGAAACATAAAAAGTTTAAAAAAAAAAAAAAAAAAAAAGAAAAGAAAAAAAG